TTTTGAATTCATTTAATGATATGGTAAAGATCATATTTTTATCCTCGTTTTGCTCGTTTTTTTAGGCAACTCTTAGGCAGGCATGGGAAGCACAACTTTCCAGAAACATAGCCAGGGATGTGGATAGAAAAGAAACTCTGCATAGGTTAGCTGAAGACGAAAGAATTCGCTCCGTAGCCTCGGCTGAAGATAGAGCAATTAAAAGACGATTGGCCTTTTTCAAAGAGACCGAAAAATTAGAAAAGGAAAAACGTGATAAATTTATAAATGTAATTTGGATAGGATTATAACTCTGATTAGGCTGAAGTGGCGAAAGCGACATCTGAGTTACAAAGGAAGCAAGAGGAGAACATTGCTAGAGAACTACAAAAGATACAGAACAATGTATTACGTGACCAAAAAATTAGACAGCAAATACGCGAAAGCAGGTGATCTTATTCTCTCATTTAATCTTTATTCTATATATGACAAAATTGATACATAACTAATACTATTTTTAGTACCGAGCTGAAAGAACTAGAGTCAAAACTTCGAAAAGCTTATGTTGCAAAAGAGCAAATGGCGCAGATGGCTGAAAAAAGGGCATTAAAATATGATGAAATGGTGCGTTATAATATTGCTTCAAAATTACATCTACTCAGTGTTGAAGTTACCTATTATTGGCTTATTGGACTACATATAATACCTTATATTATACGACTTTTATAGCTTGAAGAAGTAGAGACTTCAAGGGCTTTGGAATATGAACGCGAAATTGCTGATAGACTCGAAGCTGAACGCAAAGAAAAGGCAGCATCCAGTCGATTTCAACAAAAAATCGATCTACAAAATCAGCTCAAAGAACAGGAGCAAAGACATCAAGAGGCATACGCAGAATTCCTCAAAGACAAAATGATGGTAGACGAAATAGTGAAAAAAATATATGAGGAAGACCGTCTGTAAGAAATATGCATCGTTTAGATTTTTTCGTATTAATTAGCATTATTAAATTCTCATATTAATCGTCG